GTAACTCACGTTCTTCAATTGAAGGGCTCAGTAGGACAAGGGACTATAGCACATTTCTTTTGAAATTGAATTATTAGCATAATATAAAACTTCAAATACTTTTCTTTTAGTGAAACATGTTATACTAGCCTAGAACTCTCACATGTTAATCCCCACCCTTTCCCTATCCATTTCCCAATCCTTTCCATTAACAAAGAAAGTTGTGTAAAAAATGTGTAAATAAAACTTCATACTAACAGAATATCAAACAAAAATTAAATAATGGTTTTGGAAACATATTTCCAATAAAATTTGTTTTCAATTTCAAGAGATACGTTCTTAGAACAATTCACTCAACAGCAAAACATTTGAAGTAATTATTCAATCTTCCTTGACAGCTGTTCGCTTTCCTTGATGGTCACACAAATATTAGAAAAGATTTTTGCTCTTGAGAGAGCCAAGTAAACTTTTCAATGCAAAAATTAAGGATCGGGTAAGTATAAACCTGCTACCCCCTTTGCAATATTATTTAACTTTCCTGAATGAGTTATGAGGAACAGAGGAGGTTTTGGAGGGGCAGGGCGCCAGTTTTCCGGGGTGCGATAATTGAAAAATTATTTCTATATTAAAAAGTAATGGATTATTTTTTGCGTTCTTACGTAACTCAAGAAAACAATTCCGAGCTAAAAATAATAAAATAAGTACAAAATTTTCAAAAAATGTTATATTTTTCGCATATTCTGGAACACGATGTTTTACATAAAGTTTTTATACTTAATCAGATGTGAACAAAATTCATATATTTTTATCAAAACATGTTAAGTCTGTGCAAATAATAAAAAATGTAAGTATTATATGAAAATACACAAAAAATAAGAAAGAAGAATTTACATTGTAAATATCATCCGCGCTTCTAGAAAAAAAAGGGCAAGAATCGATAGATACGAGTTCCACAATAGGTGAAAAAATGTTTTTTGAAAATTCTGTCCAAACTTTGACCAAAAAGAAAAAAAATGCTCAATTTTTAAATTGTTAATATTATGCGACAATCATATTATTTTATACATTTTTGACTGTTTAAATAATTCTTGGCGTGAATTTCAATTTTAAACGACATATATTGACCGACATTCATGTTCATAACTAAATTAGACTGAACGAAAAAGTTCAGGAAAACCTCTCGACACGACAACCTGTTTGAGAAGACCTCTTCTTCTCGAGAAAAGTGTTCTATAAAGAGATTAATATTCCATGAGCCGTCTCTCCCCCGCAAATGACCACGAATTTTTGTTGTAATGAAACATCGTATTCCATTTAAGACGACCAGAAAACCTCGATCTGAAATTTAAAAAAAATGGGTACTATCGCGAGGCAAGGCATTTCCGGTGTCATTCAGGTGAGCAACAGCGATCGAGCACATGAGATTTCACAATAACCCCGGAACGGGAGACCTTCCAGGAGATACAAATTACCGCGTTACGTGAAAAAGGACACTGTACTATCCTTTTCTGTAATCGTAGTAATTAATTAATTCAGTCGATCAAAGTAATTTAATGTCGTAATACAACAAAGCCCTCATTTAAAACCACAATAGTGAAACGATCCCTATCATAGCAGTCGCAATAGCAGGTGAGTACAGTCTTTGGTCCGATGTTCTTCCTAAGGCGACCAAAGACCAATTACAAGGTATTGATCGCATGGTCGAATTAAAGAGGCTTCACTGCAGATGAACCATAGGGCTATTTAACGAAACGATGGCCTCCGTGTTAGTTCATTGACAAAGGCGACAACCGCGTCTACGT